CCCCCCCCCCCCCCCCCCCCCCCCCCCCCCCCCCCCCCCCCCCACAGCCGCTGCCTGCTCCCTGCCTGCACCCACCCGTCCCACCGGTGCCTCTTCCCCCTAAATACCCCAGCACAGGCCCGCAGCGCCGAGCCCTCCCCGTGATGGATTGGGGCTGTCAGAGGCAGGGAACAGGGAACTCTGAGTCGGTCACACCTCCCTGCCACCAGCCATGGTCAGAGATTTGGGGGAGGGGGGGTGCAGGTGCCGGAGCCAGGACTGGGCAAGACCCAGTGAGGCGGTTTGGGTCGTTCCCCTTTGCAATGACAGGGGCTGAATTTAGGCTCCGTGAGAAGCAGGGGAAAGGACAGAGGGTTGCATTACTCCTGGAAGCCCTGGGAACAGGACCCCGGGGTGCACGGGCAGAGCCAGCACCCAGGGGAGGCTGTGGGATATTTCTGGAGCATGGGTGAAAAACACACCCGTTGCTGCCCGCGTCCTCGCTGCCAGCAACAGGCAGCGCCTGCGGCTGTGGGCCGGGCTGCAGCCCCTGGGGACGGCTGGCTGACCCCTGCCTGTCCTGTCTCAGCATTGTGGCAGCTCCTGGTCCCTCCGTGTCCCCACGACAGACTTGGGGATGGCATGAGCTGGGGCATGCTGGGATGCCCTGGCTGCAGTACCTGGCAGGGGGTGAAGGAGGCATCTTAAAGGCTGGCACCAGGCCACTTTCCCAGGGCCTGGGAGGGAGTGGGAAGGGAAAAATCCCAGTGGGACATAAAACAGTGGGAAACATCCGTGAGTGACAGCGAGACATGCAGGGAAATCATCCCGTCCTCGTCCCCAACCAGGGTTGGGGTAGAGCAGAGCCGGGGCCCGTGGCTCGCCCTGCCATGGGCTGCTGGAGGCCATGCTGCGCTCTGCAGGAAACGCCACTTCCTTTGCTGGCTGGAGCGCCGTGTCCTGCCCTGCCCGGCTCCCTCCCTTCCTGCCCGGGCACAGCGCCCGACCCAAGCCCAGGCCGGCTCCAGTGCGGAGCGGGGTGGCCACCGGGGCGTCCAGACTGGGAAATGTCCCTCTGGGCAGGGGGGACAGGGCTCAAGGGCACCTGCATCCCCCCATCCCCAGAGAAGGGCTGGAGAACCCATGGGTGAGACTTGCCAGGGCGTGCCTGTGCAGGGGGGTGATTTACAGCACTCCCAGCCTTTGCCCCCTTCCCAGGAGCTCCGCGAGTCCCTGCCCTGGCCGGGAACCACAGCATTTACAGCAGGCTGACACCTTCCTCGGCTGGGCTGTAAATCACGGTGCAACGCTGAGGCTCCACTCACCCTCAGCCGGTGCCCAGCTCTGCTCTGCCAGGCCAGCAAAGCAGCCCCAGGGCTGCTGGATGATACCCACGCTGGGCATCACCCAGGGCATGGGACGGGAGATGGGGTAGGAGCGAAGACCCCCATCCCTGCACTCCCCCATGTCCAGTCGGTTGGCTCCCCACCACCCCAAACCATGCAGACACAGGGGTGGAGCCGTGCTGTCAGGAATAAAATGATTTATTTCTTATTGAGAGCTGGATCCTACAGGGCTTGGCAGCACATCGGGCAGGAGAGGCTGCAAGGGGCCCCCTCCGGTGCCTCCGCACGTGCGTCTGCACCTCGCACACCCGCTCACGCCCACCCGTGCACAGTCCCCGCACACACATGTGCACACACACTCGTGTGCACAGCAGCACATGTGCACCAGCTGTTTCAAGCCCCTGTGCCACATGGCAGGACACAGTGGGATGTGGGGTGGGAAGCAGACAGGGCCACCCCAGGCTCCCCTGTCCACGCGTGACCCCGCCCCTGCAGACCACGTAGGCAGAGCCAGCCCCGTTTCATGTCCCCAGACCCTGTTATCTGTGGGCTGAGGAGCACCAGGTCTGTGCCAGATGCCATCTGGCTCCAGCAAGAGAGGATGGAGGCCCTGGTCAGTGGGTCTGGCACACAGAGTATTGTCACCTGGTCCCCAAAACCAGACAAGACAGCCCGCACCTCCTCTCCACATCCTTCCTCGGGCACTGCCAGCCCATGCGTCCCCAAACACCACCAGCCTGCAGCAGGATCCCCAGTGCCCGAAGCACCCTCGCACCCCCTGCCCAGCTGCAGCACATGGCAAGCAAGGGGTACATGTGGTAGCGCAAGGGAAGGGATGGGAATTTGGCGGTGCAGCTTTGCAAACAGCCACTGTAAGCCACGGCAGGACAGCTTGTGCCTCTCCTGCTCTGCTGGCTTTCACTCGGCCCCTGCCATCCTCCCAGCGTGTCCCAGGCACAGCCCAAGTCCCGGCATCAGTGCAGGTCAATGTTCTCATACTCCAGGTTGTCCGAGTCTTCCAGCTCGATGCCGGGTACCAGGTTGTAATAGTTGGTTGACTGACTCATGTAGATCTTCTCCCGGTCGGCAGAGTCCTTCAGGACTTCGCTCACGCTGACGGTGTCCACCTCTGGCTCGCTGCCCCCCAGCTCCTCTGCCCTCGGTGCTGGGGTGTCCCGCTGCCTCCCTGGCCCCATGCCCCGCTGCCCTTCATGGGTTGGCACCTGGGAACTGCTGGGGGATCCCACTTGGATCTCCACCTCCTCGTAGAGGTCCCTGCTGCTCTCCAGCAGGTCCGCGGAGGGCTGGAGCAGGACCTGGCTCCCCAGCAGCACCTTCTTCTCAGTCCCAGAGGGGGCGGCAGGCAGCTCGTAGGGGACATAGTGGTGGGGCTCCGCAGGCACTGGCGTGTTGCCCCTCTCTGCCGTAGCCAAGTGGCTCTGGGACCTGCTCTGGAGGCTGTAGTTGGTCTTTCTCTTCCGCTTGCAGAAGCACCAGGTGATGCTGGCGAGGATGAGGAGAGGGGGCAGGCAGATGAAGAGGGCGGTGAGGCTGTGCGAGTGGCACAACTCGTCCCGGGGGATGCTCTGGAGGTCCATGCCACGGTACCGCTCCGGTGTGTGGCAGGTAACCTCAGCAACCAGGCTGGGCCAACCCTCCAGGTTGCTGAGCAAAGCACAGCTGCAGTCCCAGCTGTTGTTGGAGAGCTGGAGCTGGAGCAGAGATGGTTTCAGGAGGCTGGCGGGAAGGAAGGTCAGGGCATTGAAGCCTAGGTAGACCTCTTGGACCTGGGTCGATGCTTTCAGGAAGGACTTGGGCAGCTCCTGAAGCTGGTTGCTGTCCAGATAAAGGACCCTCAAATTAGGAGCATCTTCCAGAAAGCTTTCAGGGAGACTTTCCAGCAGGTTGTGACTTAAGTGCAAGATCGCCAAGGCAGGGGGGGTTCCCTGTGCGTTGCTGATGGCTGTGATGCTGCAGTGCGAGAGGTAGAGCTCCCGCAGCCCCCGCACCCCTACCAGTGCGCCCCAGTCCAGGTGGGTGATGTTGGAGCTGGTAAAGTTGAGGCAGCAGCTCTCGGGGAGCGGAGCCTCCCGGAAAGCCTGGAAGTCCATGGGCTCCGTGCAGTTGCAGCTTTGCGGTGCTGGGTCGAGGGCAAGGCCGGCAGCGAGCAGGAGGCTGCCCCAGAGAGACACGGTCCCCAGCCCAGCGCCTGCGGGGAGAGCAGAGGGGACGGGTGACCCCGCTGGGGGACCAGCTCTCCCGCTCCCCTCGCTCCAGCCCGCCACGGCGCGGGGCGGGGGTGAACCCCGCTTCTCACCCTCGGGAAGGGACCCGGGGCCCCGCAGCCCCCCCCGGCGCC